TTGTATATATACAGAATATATGAATACATATGTATATACATCTATAGACACATATATATATTATATATATATACACACATATACACACAATACATATAATCCCATGGAGACTATTTTAATGAAGGGTGTTATAAATTATAAAGTGCTATACACATATAAAATCAAATATAATTATAATAATCAATGCTAAATGGAATTCCATTAGTCAAGTTTGCCTTATATCATAAAATGATTATGAAATAAAATGCTATCTAGTTGATTTATAAAGCAATCTCATCTATAAAAGTATTTTAGGCCAGCAGCATTACCTAATCTACAAGAAAGTTTTGTGGAAATTATAGTGATTGAAAATTAGGTCAATTTGCTGCCTGTGATATTTTACCCTCCAACTGCTGCCTATAAGTTCATGGGTACCATTCTAAGCAAAAGGATGAAGACTATCTTTAAACACAAGCTGTCTTTTCTTTCATTACCTTTCTTCTTACCTTGGTACAAATTACCCACCTAGAAACTCAATCCCTTCCTTTGCCCACCTCTGCCTTATTAGAACTTGATATCCAACTTTTCCACTAAAAACCATATAACAAACAACTTCACATTTTTGTGTCTTGTTTTTTCAAGAATATGTCAATAAGATACCATGCTACAAGTCAAAGGGTTATATATCTACTAAAAACATTCAGACACAAAGGATAAGCTCATTAGATATCTGGATCACAGAATGTCACACTTGTGGCCCTTAATTTAGGTGACAACTGATTTTTCCAACTGACAAGGCTAACCACAAATTGGTAACAAATGAGGAATAATCCCTCTCAATACCTGCAATAGTCAGGAAAGGCTTCCATCAGTTCTAGATCATTCCAATAATTCACTACAAAGAGTTCCACCTCAAAGGGTACTATTCTGCACTCAAATTTTACAACTACCCCTTCTTACCAAAATACAAGCTTCCTTCATTTCACTTTCACATTTTCTATTCTGTTCTATCACACACATAAAGCAACAGGAAGAGAAGCAAATCACTTCAGAGTAGAGAAGTAAGAGACCTTACCCAAGAAATAGTTTGAGAATTTTATTTAATATTTTTCTTAATATTCTTGATCAAGTCTAGAAAGATTTTAGGCAATTAATTTCATTGTCCCCATAATGAAGAAGGAAAAGATGACCTCTGATTTGTCCAACAACTCTAGAATTCTGTAATATTGAGTATTATAAATGAAGTAATTAAAGCATAAAGATAGAGAAATACAATACAAACTTCAATATTATGGTCTAGACGGGAGGTGTTCCCCAAAAGCTCATGTGTGAGAAAATTGCAGAAAGTTTAGAGGTGAAATGATTGGGTTAGGAGAGTCTTAACCTAATCAGTATGTTTAAATATAGGCAGTCAGGTGTGGCTAGAGTAGGTGGGTGTATGGGGATGTGCCTTTGGGATTTATATTTTTCCCTTGTTGAGAAGATTTCTTTCTCTCTCTCCTCTCTCTCCTGTCTCCTATCTCCTCTCTCTTCTCTCCCCTCTCTTCTCTCTCACTTCTCTCTTCTCTCCTCTCTTCTCTCTCCCTGCCCCCTTCCCGGTACCATGTCCCCAGCTGCTTTCTTCTCCCACATACTTTCACCATGATGATCTGTCTCACCTCAAGCCCCAAGGAATGGAGTCCCAGCTTGTATATGGACTGAGACCTCTGAAACCACAGGCTCCAAAATAAATTTTTCTTCCTCTATATATGTTGTTCTTGTCAGGTATTTTAGTCATGGCAGTGAAAAAGTTGACTAAAAATTTACTATATAACAACCATATTTGATTAAACAAACTCATTTTTTCTAATAGTTAATGAACTAGAAGATAGTAGGATCACTTTATAACTAATATCATTCATAGAAAAGATCAGAGGGGTTTTGATGTTATTTAGTCAGAATACATCTGATTAAACAATCAAATGAAAATGAACATTGGTCAGATAATGCATATTATGTAGACCAGTGTTTTCTAAGTTGTAAAGTTGTATTAAAAAGAACTTTTCTAGTTGTACAAAATGTTAGTAAGAATTGCATTTAAATGGGGACTGGGCCCTTGAGAGTTTTTTGAGTTTAGTAACTCACTTCCAAAAAACAGAATATGAAAAAGGAGAAAAATGTTTTATATTGGAGAATACCTGGGTAACACCACTTAAACAAGTAATCAAATTAACATTACTAACAACTGTTCATGATGATATCAGGTCCACATCTCCCTAATAAAATATGATAAGAAAAGCACTTCAGCCATATAGTTTTTTGAATTCTGTAACCCCAATTTAATCATGAAAAATTACAACAGGTATACCAAATTTGAAAGAACATTCTGCAAAATATGTGATCATTATTCCTTAAAACTGGTAAAGTTATGAAAAATAAGGAAAGACTGAGAAGATCTAACAACACACAACAAATAAATGCAATGTAAAGTCCTGGACTGAATCCTGAAACAGAAAATGAAATGCATTAAGAGAAAACCAGTAGTATTAAGTCTGGGGTTTAGTTAACAGTAATATACCAATAGTGATTGACAATATTAGAAGAAATCAAAACTGGTCAAAGGGAATATGAGAATTCTTCATACTATCCACATAAATATTCTGTAAATCTAGAATTATTCCAAATAAAAAGTTTACTTTAAAATTAATGAGGAGGTCCATTAGAAAATTCCTATGGGAAACTTTGGATTAAACAATTCATTTTATCAATACTTAAAAGTATCTGAACTTCTACAAACTCTTAAAAGAGAGAACGCAGGGTGCTATATTTCCAAAACATATTTAGCCAGCAGCCTTCTTTTTCTTCAAAATGTATCTTTCAGTAAAGTTGCTGACATAGAGAAGTTTTCCCCCAATGTGGCACAGATGCTAAACTCAACCATGTTCAAATTTTTATCAACTTTCCCTAAAAAGGAAAAGACACTGTGAACATTAAATTTTCAGAAGGCTTGAAAGTAGAGAATAATATCATGGACAAAAAAATAATCATTAAAATCATATTTAATAGGCCACATCAATTGACCAAATGTAAAGGGAAAAATAATAAAGGATAAATACATAATCTACTTTTGTTAAATAAAACTAAAGGTAAATTAAGCATAAGATGAAGAAAAATGAACTTAAATACCCATCAGGTTACTGTGAGCAGCAAGGAGTTCTTAGGCTGAATTAGTACAACTATTAAGTCAGTGAAGAGGCCTTAATAGTATTAATATGATCATTTCTGCCAATTTTATTTTTTTTAATTCTATGTGCTATGTTACAAAAGGTCCTCAATGAATTATTTACAAAGGAGAAGGAACAAGATTATGTGCATCGAATAAACTGGGCCATAGCAAGAAACATTGAACAAACTGGGGATATTACTCTGATAAAAAGAAACCCTCAGGGGGATTTGACACTGGTCCTTAAATACACAAGGAGAATGGAACTTAAGTCTGTGACTTCAAAGGAGTAGAATGACCTAAGGAAGAAAAAAAGTAGTATAATAGCTGCAACCACTAAATCACTTCATAAGTGGAATAGATGCTAAATAGATGCTAGATGTCCACCTGTCCAGATTGCTATCAGGTTGTTTTCTAGATTAGACCTAATAAATGACTTCTACACAACCTTCTCATGGAAAGATCTTGGAATATATGAAACCACAGGGAGAGAAAAAAATCAAGAAATTCTGGGAAAAGTGGCAAACTATTAAAAATTATTTAAAGTACCTCATGTCTCAATGTGTCTCTTCTAATCATCATTCTTATAATAATATCTAGAAACTGTCTGGACAAGCACTGGTGTTTAGCTGAATAATAAGGAAGAAATGCTATCCTATATTGTTCATCTAAGAGACTTTTGATGGTATGTTTTAAGTTACGCTAGATAAAAGGAAGCAATGAATTTTTCTAGACCAAGTATTGTTGGTAAGAACTGCATTTAAATGGGAACTGGGCCCTTGAGAGTGTACTAAAATAAATAAACATACAAATATATAAACAAATAACATGATTTTAAAAAGTCTTTTTTCTCCTACAGAAATAATTGGCTTATAAAAAGGCCAATGTGTATAAGTTCAAGACCTGTTTGAAAGTGTGTCCCAAGATGAACCAGAACTAATTTGAGGAGAATAAGCTAAATATCCAGAAAAAAAATTAAAGAATCAAAATGTCTATATACATACACACAATGGACTATTAGAAAATAGTATGTACTTTGTCATTTGTGACAACATAGATAAAACTGGAGATTATTAAGTCAAATAAAACAAGCACAGTAAGACAAGTACCATATGTTGTCATTCATATGCGGCATCTAAAAAAGTCAGTCTCATAGAAGTTGAGAGTAGAATAGCAGTTACTAGAGACTAAGGAGACCTGGGGAAGGGAGGAATGGGAAGAGATTGGTCAACGGATACTAAGTTAGAGTTAGATAGCAGTAAGAAATTCTGGTGTGTACTGAACAGTTAGATAACTATGGATAAAATTATACTTGTATATTTGAAAGAGCTAGAATAAAGGATTTTGAATGTTTTCATGACAAATGATTCATGTTTGAGGAGATAGCTAAGTTTAACTGAATTTAAATATTATATAATGTCTACAAATATCAAAACATCGCAAAGTATCCCATAAATATATGTAATTCTTATGTATCAGTTAAAAAATAAACTTTCAATTGTTTTAAGTTAATGACAAAATTCTCAAATTTGTTTAATTGTAGGCGGGGTTAGTCCATGAGAGTGTGTGTCTTTTTAAATTTTACATCACAAATGCCTGCTTACACATCGTAGTCTTGGCCCTGTGATTGGCCAATCGGTTAAACCCCTCCCCCACATCAAACACTGGTTCCCTAGGTAAAGGTAGTGGCTAACTACAAATAACTGCCACCACCGACCAAGTCCGTTGGTTCCGCTGTGCCTGAGGAGAGATCTAAATCCTGTCATTCTTCCGAATGTATGTAGGCAAGAGGCCACCCTAACTTTACTATCACTCCACAATGTCTTGGGCTCCAGAGTGGAAGAGGGTGGAGTCTAATCCAAGAGATCCTGGAGGCAGCTGGGATAATAGGGGTGGCCGTGGTGGAGCTCGAGAAGGTAGAGGCCGAGGCAGAGGAGGGCGACACAGTGGAGGCCAGGGTGGCGGAAGCTGGGATGGCAGAGGCCGAGGCAGAAATCCTGGCAGAAGCCAAGGCCAAGACAGTGATCCTGTCAGAGGCGGAAGCCCAGACAGAGATAGTGATCTGGGCCAATGCCAAGGCCAACACCAAGGCAGAGACTATGGCTGGAGTAGTCTCTCAGACCATCTGGGGCCTAGGGCCACAGGATCACGTGAACCACCACTCTGTTTTAGCTTGAACAACAATATGGTTGGTGTAGTAATTGGTCGCGGTGGATCAAAAATAAAAGATATACAACATTTAACAAACACTAAGATACAGATCATAAAGGGGGATTCTGAAGCAGAGGTAAAAATTTTTGGTAGCCATGGCATGAAAGCAAAGGCAAAAGAAGCCATAGAAACTCTTCTTAAAAAACAACAAAGCTACACTTCAAAATATGCTGATAATGCCCCATTCCAATCTCCTGATAATAATGCTGCATCCCAACTCCCTTCTGAAAGCAGTTTAAGCACAAATTACACCGGCAGAAGGGCTCAACCACTGTTAGATTGGGACCAAATCCGGGCAGAATCTATGAAATGGGAAAAAATAAAATGGGCAGATTTACCACCAATTAAGAAAGATTTTTACATAGAATCCAAAGAAACAAGCTTGATGTCTGAAGCTGAGGTGGATAACTGGAGAAAGGAAAATTTCAACATAATATGTGTTGACTTGAAAATTGCTGAGAAACGCATCATCCCTAATCCAACTTGTAAATTTAAAGATATGTTCCAGCAATATCCTGAACTGCTGAGAAACATAACAATGGCTGGCTTCCAAAAGCCAACACCAATTCAGTCACAAGCATGGCCAATTATTCTACAAGGACTAGATCTTATAGGAGTGGCCCAAACTGGAACAGGCAAAACATTGGCCTATTTAATGCCTGGGTTTATTCATCTCAGTTCTCAACCAGTACCTAAAGAACAAAGGAATGGACCGGGCATGCTAGTTCTTACACCAACTAGAGAATTAGCTCTTCAGGTGAACTCTGAATGTTCAAAGTATTCATATGAAGGTCTTAAAAGTGTATGTATATATGGTGGTGGAAACAGAAAGGAGCAAATACAAGCTATTACAGAAGGTGTAGATATCATTATTGCAACTCCAGGAAGACTAAATGATCTGCAAATGAATAATTTTGTCAACCTAAGAAGTATAACCTACTTGGTCTTGGATGAGGCAGACAAAATGTTGGATCTAGGGTTTGAACACCAGATAATGAAGATTTTACTAGATGTGCGCCCAGACCGACAGACAATTATGACAAGTGCAACTTGGCCAGATACTGTGCGTCGACTTGCACATTCTTATTTGAAAGAGCCTATGATTGTTTATGTGGGTACTCTAGATCTGGCTGCTGTACATACAGTGAAGCAAAATGTAATTGTTACCACAGAAGAAGAAAAACGAGCTCTTATCCAAGAATTCATAAAAAACATGTCACCCCAAGATAAAGTCATAGTGTTTGTCAGCAAAAAACTTATTGCTGATGACCTATCAAGTGATTTAAGCATCCAAGGCATACCTATACAATTACTGCATGGTGACAGAGATCAGAGTGATCGAGAACAAGCATTAGAGGACTTCAGAACTGGAAGAGTGAAGATACTGATTGCAACTGATTTAGCATCTCGAGGACTTGATGTTGATGACATCACACATGTATATAATTACGATTTCCCACGGAATATTGAAGAATATGTGCACAGAGTAGGACGTACTGGAAGAGCAGGGAAGACTGGTATTTCGATAACCCTTTTCACTAAAAGTGATTCAAAGACTGCCAATGAATTAATTAAAATTCTAAAAAGAGCAAGTCAGAGTATCCCAGAAGATCTTGCAACCATGGCAGAAGAATACCAACTTCATGAACAAAAAAAAGACACAGAAAGAAGATCAAGAAAGTATCAAGGAAAATCCAAGAAGTTTTATTAAAGTTTTTTGTTGAAAAACTCCACCAGGCTAAAGGAAGACTTAAAGCATATTAAATATATGCAGTATTCAAGAGACACAATATTAGAAATATACTGGAATTCTGAAGAAACAATCAATTCTTAAATAATACTGCTAAGCTTTTACAGTTGTACATGTTCCCTAATAAACAAAATGTTTTAAAATGAGAGTGATAGATTATTATGTGAGCAAAAATTAAATGTTAGATATTGCTTAAACTCTAGATTTTTTGTTTTGTTTTGTTTTTTAATAGCATTCTATGTCCTTCTGTCTTCTCCAAAATACTTGGAAGAGGACAAGCATGGTGATGGTGTTTTCATTGTTGTTGTTTGTTTTAAAATAGTTGTACTAAATTGAAGCATAGTTTTCATCAAGTTTATCCCAGTTAAAAGATTCTCCTTACCCGCCCCCAAACCATTTATTGGTGCCATACCCATAAAAATGTCTCCATTACCAATCCCCAATTTTTAGTTCATCAAAAAATAAGTGCTAAATTTTTAAAAAGATTTAACAATTCTATTTTATCAGCTAGATGTATCCAACAGAGCAACGTGTCTGGTTTACTAGAAATCAGATCCTTGTGTCATTTTTGAAACTAAAATTTGTTTAAAATTCTGGGGCAGTTATTTGCCTTCTCTGCACTTCAATTTCTCCACTCATAAATTGAAATGGTTATATTAAATAATTTTGGGGTCCCCTTCACCACTAAGCTTCTGTGATATAACTAAAATTATATACCCCAGTCTAGTATTCACATTTTATTGTTTAGGTAAAATTGTATCCTTGCATAATAAATTGAAAAGAGAAACTCTTTTTAATTATCAGAATAGTACATTCTGCTTTTTAAATTGATTTTTGTAATGTGTCTGGAAGGTTTTCTTTTATTTGCTTTTTCTTTTCATTATATTATATTTTTAATTCAATTTGTCTTGAAAAGGTCAAAACCATATATTACACACACATCAGGGGAATGAATACGAAAGCAAAAAATATATCATGCACTGGGGAAAATGTTAAAATCTCAATTGACACTTTGCCATAAAAAAACAATTTTAGTAAACCTCTTATTTAGAATTCTCTCTTGTGCTCTCTTTAGAAGCAATATATCTCTCACACCTGCAAAACAAAATCTCCACAATAATGCTAAATAAACAAAAAATTCAGTGTTCAGCCTTAACCTGTCTGTCAAAATAAACAAAAAATAATGCAAAAATCTTTTCCCTAACATATCTAAGCTATGTCCACAAATAGGTCAGAAATTAAATGAAAGAAAGAGGCAGAGATTTTAGGTATAGGTATTTGAGGTTTACACTCTGCCTTTAAAGGCTTTTATATGGGTCTTAGTATCTCCTGATAAAATTAATTACAATGGTTAACATTGTTGAGTAACATATATCAAGTGCTTTTTACCCCCTCAAAAGGTAATAGTACCCCTACTAAACAGAGGATGAAAGAAGGTCAGAGTAGCTAACTTGTCTAAAGTTACTGACACTGGTTAAAGAGAAATTAAGCAGTATTTTAACCTAGAAGTACCTGATTACAATATTTACATTCTTTTTTATTTCAATGTAGTATCTATGTGGAAGACAATATACTCGTCCTGAGGTTGCCCAAAATTTAGATGTAGTGAAATAGAGGTATAAGCAATTTATTCTACTATAAAGGTAGTCTATATAGAAGAACATGAAACAAAAAACACAAACTCAAGTGGTCTATTCCTATTAACTCAGAGGATAAATGAGAAATGTTTGGCAAATGAGTATATGTTACTTGCCAGAATTCCTTTTAGGGGAAATGCTGTATTTGTTAGAAAAACGATGCAATATGAGATAGTGATATTCTTCAATCATGTTTAAATAACAATAACAAAAATTATCACTCAATGTCTCTGGGTAAGAAAAGGAGAGAAGTATGCATTTTTTCTAAAACACAGGATGAAAAGAAGAGACAGCTTACAGAAAAAGGTAAGTAGAGATAGAACAACAGTCTCAACCAGGGATGATTTTGCTCCCAAGGAGACCATGATATATTTGGTTGTTACAATTTTGGGTGGGAGTGACGATAAGGTGCTGCTAGCTAGTGGGTAGAGATGGTTAAACACCCTATAAGGACAACTGCATATGACAAAGATTTATCTGGCCCAGAAAAATAGCGCTGAGATGGAGAATCTCTGAGTATTTGTAAAACAAAACAAACAAAACTAATTGCACAGTAGCCAAGATGGAAATTCAAAGGAAAAATAGAAGAATTCTAAGTAAGATTTTACAGGTTATTCAGAATAAAACCCTACAAACTTCCTACAGCTGCTATCGTCTGCATCAATGGTTCTCTCCTAGAGCTAATTTTTTCCATGTCTAAAGACAGATTTGGTTTTCACAACTAGGTTTGATGGTTGGTAGTATTGCTATCTCCTGGGTACAGTCCAAAGGGTGCCACTAATAATCACACAATGCATAGGAGAAGCTTCTCTTATAACAAATAATTATCTGCACCAAATGTCAATAGTATCATAATTGAAAAAGCATGCAATAGATTAAGCAAATAACAACTGAAGAAAACAAAATTTAAAAAAAAAACAACCCAGAAGGGACTTTAGAAAGAAAAAACAAAAAGATACTTATTTGAGATGTGCTGTGTAATATAGAAAACTCTACCAACCTTGCCATCTTTGGTATATTCTACAATTCTTAACTGGAATCGATTTTTTCCATGAAGGGATACTTGGCAATGTCTGGAAACAGTCTCAGTTATTCTTACCAAGGATCAGGATTCCTACTGGCATCTAGAGGGTAGAGGTTAGGGACAAACATAATGCAAAGGACAGCACCCTGCAACAATGGATTGGGAGACTAATGCTTAGAAAGGTCACATAGCTTTTCCAAATACAGAAAAGTGGGAAAGTAGCAGAGAGCTTATAGTGCTGAAAATAATAGATTTATCAAAGAAGCAGGCTATAGTGTACAAAAACATAGAGAAGATGAGAAACATATTAGGGAAAGCATACAGTTATTCAAGTTTATATTAAAATAAGAACCCTATACAGGCATTTTTAACACTACACAATATTTCAATGTTTGTCCTACTCTTCTCCTTGGTCCTTAGGTGCCTCTGAAGCTTTCAAGCACTAGAGAAGCCACATGGTAAACTGAAAGCTTGTAATCAGACTTTTCAGCGGTCCTTTAAAAAATTAGTCTAAATAGTTTTGTTGGATATCTGATCACTTAGTCATTTAATAAAGTACAAACTATGACAACAATAAAAGTAAGAAATGATCTGAAGAAAGACTGAAGTAAAGCCTTCAAGTTCCTGGCTAGTGGAAGGGATGCGAATTTGGGGGCCATGCAAGATAAGCAAAAGATCCTACCAGTGTAATAAATTTCAAATTTAGTAACCAATTTATAATATCTGAATTTCTGGGAATAAAAGTAAGTGTCACTTTAGCTATACTTAGGGTAGCAGATACTGGTAGTTTATACCTGACCAACAGCTGTCCCCACCCCTCCTTCCTATTTCTCTTCCTATTTGCTGGTATAAGGCACTTCTCATTTTAGAGGTTGTAAAACTCAGCAAGTCACTTTCCAAGATGCCCTGTGGATGAAGCATGGGCATGTGACACACACCTGGCTTATAGGACTAGAAGAAAATCTGCTTGGCAGCTTTAGAGAAAGTTGTTTTTGTTACAAACAGAAACGTGAGGATTAAGTTCTCCTTCCTGCTTTGGTACACCATAGTGCGAAGGCATAATGTTGTGACTGTTGTTTTTAGACAATGAGGAAGTCTATCTAAAGAAGAATAGCAACATGCTAAGCATGACCTAATTGAAATTTGGAAAATACCTGGATCCTGGATGGTATAGCCATGCTACTGAATTAAGCAACTCTACATGGAAGTCATGGAGGTGTGCCACTCAGATCTTCAGTGCTGATTAGTTGCAAAGAGTGCAGTTAGCTGACAGCCTCCAAACTGAAAATAATCCAAGATAGCATCTGAGTCAAGGCCAAAATCTTGCAGGAAGCCCCAGTTAATAACTGAACATAGTAAACACTAGGGTACTGTCATTTCTACCATACATAAGAGTGCTCTATGGGTCATAATTTGGCAGAGCTCTTGTTAGGCTGGTTTTAATTTCTTAGAGCCTCACTGCAGTCTTAGGCTCTTCCTACTCAATCCTCCTTCTTTTCCCTTTTTGTTCATGGGCATCAAACCTGAACTTCATTCAGAAGGATTTCCCTGACAACTGCTGATAATTTTCCACCTTAACTTTCATGGGTGTTACCTCCAGTAAATTTGTTGGACTCAACTAATACATCCAGGAATCCTCTACTTCTAAACTTCACATTATATGAAATAACAAATTGATTAAGACACAGTGATTCAACTATAGCTAGCATCCCAATATCTCTCAACTATAAAATTAGAAAAACAGATATAAAATATCTTATATTGAAGCAGAGAATTTTCCAATGAGGTATAATTTACTTGGAGAGTTGACTGTAAGCAAATTAAACTCTTCCACTGGATGCTTATTTGATAGGGACATTGAAAATGCAAGACTCTATAGGGAATTGCTGTAATTTTATAGAAATTGGGAGCATATAAAAAAGACCAGTTTTTGAACGGTCAGCATCAGTTAGGGGAAGAAGTGAGAAGCCAGAGTAGAAAACTTAAACTACAGTCAGGAAGAGACACAGTATCAAGGTCATCTGAACCAACAGCTTTAACAGCATCACACTTGGATGCATCTAGAGTACATCTGGCTCTGACAGATTTGAAATGTAGCCAACCAGAGAATTTCTTGCAGCCAACAATCTAAAGGGGCTCAGGGTGAACAATTCTACCTAATGGAGACACATAGCCAAAAGCAATGGGAATCTTCTCTTGGACACAAGTAAATTTTTAAAAAAACCCTTTTCATAAGAGGGGAAAATAAATAGAGAGAGGGGAATAGGCAGGCCATGTTTGCTTTCCTACCTGAGCTTTAA